ACCTGACTGAAGCAGAAATGGATGCTGGAAAGTTTAATGATCCTACCTCTTATAATGAAGCCATTAACAGTGATCAGTCTTCTGAATGGAATAAAGCCATGATTGAAGAGCTTGACTCCATGAAGAAAAATGATGTTTGGGATTTGGTTGAATTACCCAACGGTGTAAAACCCGTAGGATGTAAATGGGTCTTCAAAACAAAACTGGACCCGAATGGAAACATTGAACGCTACAAAGCGAGATTGGTTGCAAAGGGCTACACTCAGAAAGAGGGAATTGACTATCAAGAGACCTTTTCTCCTGTCTCTCGAAAGGATTCCTTAAGGATCGTTATGGCCCTTGTAGCTCACTTTGACTTAGAGCTACATCAGATGGATGTCAAAACCGCTTTCCTTAATGGCGATTTGGATGAAGAAGTGTTCATGAAACAACCCGAAGGATTCGAATCTGAAGGTCAAGAGCACCTAGTCTGTAAGCTAAAGAAATCCATATACGGGTTGAAGCAGGCATCACGTCAATGGTACCTAAAGATGCATCAAGTCTTGAAGTCAGAAGGTTTCCTAAAGAATCAAGTGGATCAATGCACCTACCTCAAGATGAGTGGGAGCAACTTTACTATACTTGTCCTTTACGCAGATGACATTCTATTGGCAAGTAATAGTTTAGACATGTTGCATGAGTCCAAGCGCTTACTCTCGCATAATTTTGACATGAAAGATCTCGGAGAGGCTTCTTATGTTATTGGCATCGAAATACACCGAGATAGAGTCAATGGTATTTTGGGATTATCTCAAAAGGGTTACATTGAGCGTGTCCTTACACGCTATAACATGCAACATTGCTCTCCTTCTGTGGCTCCAGTAGTTAAGGGAGATGTTTTTGGTTTATTTTAATGTCCGAAAACAGAGGTTGAAAAAGAACAGATGAGAATGATACCTTATGCGTCAGTAGTAGGAAGCCTTATGTATGCACAAGTCTGTACTCGTCCAGATATCGCTTACATTGCTGGAATGTTAGGTCGTTATCAGACCAATCCTGGTCTTGATCACTGGAAAGCAGCTAAGAAAGTTCTTCGATATCTACAAGGGACAAAAGACTATAAACTGACTTACAGAAGGAGTGATAATTTAGAAGTGGTTGGTTATTCTGATTCTGATTTTGCTAAGTGCAAAGATGACAAGAAATCCACTTCAGGGTATATCTTTATGTTAGCTGGCGGACCTATCTCGTGGAATGCAACTTCTACAATGATGGCAGAATACATAGCGCTGTACAACGCAACCTGTCATGGAATGTTGCTCAGAAACCTCATCACTGGACTCAAAGTAGTTAATTCCATCTCTCGACCATTGAAGCTTTATTGTGATAACTCAGCTGCCGTTAGTTTCTCGAACAGTAACAGTTCGACTGACGCTGCTTTATATCTTGATACAAAGTACTTGTTCGTACGTGAGCGAGTTGAGGAAAATAAACTTTGTATTGAGCATATAAGTACTAAGAATATGCTTGCGGATCCGATGACTAAAGGTCTCCCTCCTAAGATTTTCGAAGAACATGTTTCGAAGATGGGGTTTTCTAAAGACCTTATTTAGTTGCATATTGTACTTGCTTACATTTAATAATAAAATTTCCTCATTGTTTTGTTTGTTTGTCTCTGAATGTGTCTATGCATGCCTAAAGACATATAGACAACATTTATATACAAAATAATGTTATGGGCTTAATTGTCAATTTGATCCTTAGCTTATTTAAGTTTTAAATTTGGCATTGTAGTATGATTAATGGGGGTCTTGAATTGAATATTGATTCAATGACTGTATTTCTCTGCTACAATTTTGGTTTAGAACTAAAATGAGTATTAAAATC